TACCTCGGTTGTAGTATCGAAGATTTCAAAAGGTAGCCGGAGTTGAAGAAATACGAAGAGTTCTTCGTAGATCTACGATGTGTGAGAGCTTTTCAGGTGAAACTAGCTTTGGATTCGCGACCAGGGCTACGAGATCATTCGGACGGCACCATTATCTCTCCACTTCGACGCTGGCGGACGGCGGTTGCCGCCGCTCAGCGGCGGCCGACAGGCGGAGCTCCATCAGAGCTTTTGAGAGAGTTTTCTTACTCTCTCTCTCTTGTTTTGCAGAAATGAAACATAAATGAAGGCTTGGGTTTATTTTGGCCATGTAATTGGCCTTATATTAGCGTACCAAAACGACACCGTTTAAGGGTTTGATGCATGTTTGTTTCAGCGTGAGGGGGTAATTTCTGTTTAAGTCATTCCTACCTTGTAGCTTTATATTTTGGCCATTAATGAAATCATTGTTGTTTTATTTCGAGTTTTTAGATTTCAATAATTTAATTTCAGTCACTAGTTTATGTTTTATGTTATATTTATTAATATTTGAATTTGGCCCAGGGATTTATGTCTGTTTTATTTTGGTCACTTTGGTATAATATTATTTATTTTGGTTTATTTACCATGTTTAGTCCTCCATAAAGAGTATTGTTTTAGATTTGGCCATATTATATTATGCGTGTTTATTTTGACACTATAAATTATGTAATTTTAATTATTTTGATTTTAACAGGTAATTTTATAAATTTTTATTTTAGCCCTAAATATTTATTAGGTTGTTGTGGTTTAAATAGAGCTTGCAGGTATAAATATTTGATTTAATCAATTGGGATATTTTTTTTCTTAATTTGATTTCCATTGTGTGAGTTTAGATACCAACTCTCCAGCTTTGTCAAAGTTAGGCCACAAAGCACCTAACCACTGAAGACAAGAGAAGAGCTACTTTTAATTAAATAATTATTTGTTAATATAATACTAAAAGTTTGACAGAGGAAGGTTACCTCCTCATTTTCTTCAATAGATTGTCTGTTATTTACATTTATAGTGCTTGTCTTTTCATCCCTATTTACATTTCAATGTTTTATGGTTTTATTTAAGTCAGGTCACCGTATTTAAAATTATTTATACTTAAGTAGTGAATGTTTATATTAGTTTATTTTAATCCCGTTTGCTTTATTATTTTATCTTTCTGTTGTTTATACATTTGTCTTATGATTTTAATGTTTCATGTTTCAGTCCCCAAGTATGATATATTGTTCATGGGGTTGATAGTATTTGTTATTTACATGTCTTTCATAATTATTGATTTGCTTTTGATTCGTGACCTTAAGATTAATATTATTTAATTTAGTCATGTGTTTATGGTTTACATAATTTTGGTTATTTATTTTTGGACTTTCACATTTGTACAGGTTGCATTTAAAGCTCATATTATAATAAAGTGTACGTTGTAACTATTATATGTATATATATTATTTTAGGGATAATATATATATGTTAAATTTATTAAGTATATTATATTATTTATTTTAGAAGTTTAGTATTTTATAAAGTTCTAAAATATTCTTAGATATTAACTGCATTCTTTATAAAGTTAATTTTATTCATATTCGAACATCTTCAAGAATATTTATTTGTAGAACAGGCGTGGAAAATATCACTGATCGAAGTGGTGTGATCTGATACGATGTTCGAACAAATGTGAACTTGAAATAAAAAAATGATTCTATTTTGTTAATTAATTCTTTTTATTTCATGTAGAACAATGTCGTGCATGTTTTTCTAAATAATAATTTATTTCATTTTTCGAAAATGTCAATATTCAATTCACATTTTATCAAAGAGCGAATATTCTTTTATTGATTAGAAATAGTTGAGTTAGCCTTCTCGACGGAGGATTGCTAATTTTGAGATTTATTTTTGAATTAAAGAATTTTTCCTAATTAGTTAATTCGAAACAAATCAATTAAATTTCAATAAATGAATCATAATTTAAATTTATATTCGATTCATGATTTCCACCATTACGACAACGTGTAAGCGACATAGTACCAGTTTTGGGTGCTAATCCTTCTCCACGCATAACCGACTCCCGAACCCGTTTTAATCAAATCTTTGGTAAATGCAGATAAGTTTTTGTCTTAAAAATGATTTTTCTTAAAATTGTTTTTTTAAAAGGCGTTTTTGGGTGTTCGACCTACCTGACTCAAAGGTTGATGGCGACTCCTATCTATTTTCATCCAAATTAATTCCAAATCACCAAATTTTCCAAACTAAAGTCATAAATATTTTTTAAAAAACAATGAATAATTGTTCCACCCTAAAAATGGTTATGACACACACAAGTAATAAAGAGTGAGTGAGTATCGTTCCCACGAGAATTGGAGGAAAATTTGCAAGTAAATTAAAGCAAAAATATTAAACTACCTATGTATAGTTAGTGTGGAGGTATGCACAGAGAATGCTATGGCAGAATGAAATGAATATGGATGGTTTTGTGGAAATGTGATGGCAATGTGAGATGTGATATAAATATGGAAGATGGAAATGTTGTGGCAAGCAAAAATGCTTTTGGAATGTAACCAACTGAAAATGTAAAAGCAAAACAAGTTGAGAATTCGGAAACAAATAAGCAGACTTAATAATCCTCACACGACAAGCTACTATGGGAATGAATGGTGGGATTTCTAAGGAATCTTATGCCTTGCCTCTCAAAATGATTCAAGCTTCTATGGTCTATTTGCTCGACAAAGTTTACTAAGAATGTCCCTACGCTCTCTTGAGTCAAGGGAACCTGAAAGATGCAAATGCCACGACGATACCTCTCGACGTGAACAGTAACATTGAACCTATCAAATCTACACTACTCCTTTTAGTCGTTAAAATCCTATCCTTATCTCTAAGGTGGATTAGGTATTAGTTAGCAGTTATAACACATTGCTCACGTTGATATTCCCTTAGTTTCTCTCGAACACTAAGTATCTTTAACCTAGTTTCTCTCGAACACTAAGCAATACACTTAAGAAATGGGTATTCTCATGCCTCCTACAATCCTAAGTAATTAAGCACAATGAGCAAAGCAAATAGATAAACATAAAAACCTCAAATCATTCATTAAAGTAAGTACTCAATCATCCATAAAAATCCACACCATATAAAGATTAGTTCATGGTGGGTTTGAAACATCCATGACAATATTAGTTTAAATTCATCGAATCACTTTGCAAATATCTCCGAAAATGATCATTCCAAATATTCAAACAAAATTAAGTATTACACTATTTACTATTCATTCAATAGTTTTTTGTAGACAATGATGTGGTTTTGCATGAGACTATTTTTTCATTTCATTTTCCCCAACATCTTAATTTCCTATTTTCATCATTCTTCATATGGTACTGATTTTTTGGTTCTTTCTCCTTCTCATGTCCCTGAATCTTTTGATTTCTCTACTTCAGTCTTAACAGAACTTTATGTTTCACCATTAATTGAACAATTACAATCACCATTATCTGAATATTTACCTTCACCATTAATTTCACCATTACTTGAACATTCACCTTCACCAATGATTTCTCCTTTATCTTCTTCTACCCTCTCTTCATTTTCTTCTTTTCCTACATCTTCCACTGATATTGGTCATGCATCTATTTTATCTACTGTTTAGTGTTTTAGAAGGTCCAATAGGGTCTCTAGACCACTAAATAGGTTGCAAGATTTTGTTTCAGTTTACAAATCATCTCTTTCTCCAGGACAGTAACTCATTTCTGAAAATGTATCTTATTCACGTTTAACTATAATTATTCAATCGTTTCTTTCTTCTACTTCTACTCTTATTATAGCTCAGCTTTTCTGAAGCCATTAAAAACCCTCTATGGATACAAGCAATGAAAGAAGAAATTCAAGCTTTGGATGCTTGGTTTGTTGTTCCCTTTGCACCAAGAAAAATCCCAATTGACTGCAAGTGAGTATTCAAGATTAAATATCAGTCTTCTGATGTTGTTAAACGATACAAAACACGCCTGGTAGCTAAGAGTTATAATTAGAAAAAAAAACGTCAGATTTCACTGAAACATTATCTTTTATGGCAAAATTAGTTACTATCAAAACCCTTTTAGCAATTACAGTAGCATTGATTTGTCACTTTACCAAATAGATGTATACAATGCATTTCTTCAAGGTGATTTGACTGAGAAAGTGTATATATAGATGCCTTCTAGATTTTACTGCGGGGAGGACTATATATGTAGACTGCAAAAATTAATATATAGTCTCAAAAAATCTTATATAAAATGGAACATGAAGCTAACTGAAGCCCTATTAGCTGCTAGATATTAGCAAAGTAATCAGATTATTCCATGTTCCAAAAGGAAGGGTGAAGAAATTGTAGTTATGTTGATGACTTGTTGATCACAGGCAACAGTGATAGTCCGATTACTGAGTTGAAAACCATATTGAATTCAAACTTCAAAATGAAAGATTTGGGAACATTAAATTTCTTTCTTAGATTTGAGGTCTTAAGATCAAAAGAAAGAATACTGAATCAAAGGAAGTTGTTGAAAGTAGATGAATTCTTTATTATTTTCAATATATTAAAATAGGTTACACGTTCCCTATATATATAGATGTTGAAACACCTAATTTCTAGGGATATATACAACTTACCTAGAATAGGGTCAAATCTATCTAAAACAGAAAGAAATAAACAAGAAATAAATATATACAGATATGGTAACAAGCTACCAGAATCATCTAAAAATATGGAACAAAATACTGATCTGTTTAACTCTAGATTTCCTTAATTTCGGCTCTCTAACACGCAGACAGATATGCTTTCAAACTAAACTCCAAATAATTCTACACTCCCCCTCAAACTGGATGGTAAATGTTAATTAACCCCAGCATGGAACTTAGATCATCAAAAGTCTTTCTTGGTAGAGCCTTAGTAAGAATGTCGGTTGTTTGAAGACATGTGGGTACATATAGCATTTTGATCACCCCTTCCTCTATCTTCTCCTTTATGAAGTGCCGATCAATATCCACATGCTTAGTTCTATCATGATGGATTGGATTCTTGGCAATGCCGATTGGTTATCACAGAACATCTTCATAGGTTCTTCACTAGAAATTCTTATTTCCTCTAGTACCCTTCTTAGCCATATTCCCTCATAAATACCATGGGCCATTGCCCGGAATTCATCTTCTGCACTGCTCCTTGACACCACTGATTGCTTCTTACTTCTCCATGTGACTAGATTTCTCCACACATAAGTACAATACCCTGAAGTTGATCTTCGGTCTTGTACTAATCCTGCCCAATCTACATCACTGAACACCTCTATGTCTCTTCTTTGATTATTCTCAAAAAATAATCCTTTCCCTGGTGTTAGCTTCAGATACCTTAGGATTCTATACACCGCCTCCATATGTTCTTCATTTGGATTGTTCATAAACTGACTTACCATGCCGACAGAAAAACCAATGTCTGGTCGTGTGTGAGAAAGGTAGATTAGTTTACCCACTAGCCTTTGGTATCTGCCTTTATCCACCGGTGCACAATTTTCTTTAGTGCCTAATTTTGTTGTTGAATCCATAGGTGTGTCAGCTGGCTTACATCCAAGCATCCCAGTTTCTTTTAATAGATCCAGTACGTATTTTCTTTGGGAAACACATATTCCCTTTCTTGACCTTGCAATTTCCATACCTAGGAAGTATTTGAGCTGTCCAAGGTCCTTGATTTCAAATTCCTTAGCAAGAAGACCTTTGGTAATATTGATTTCTTCCTCATAATCTCCTGTTAGGATAATGCCATCCATATATACAATGAGGATAGCTAGTTTTCCTGCAAATGAGTGTTTGACAAACAAGGTGTGATCTGATTGACATTAAGAATAGCCATGATTCTTTATTACCATTGAGTTTAGTTTGTATCATGGTGTTGAAGTTTTTGAAAATCTGACATGCCTCTGATTTTTCTTTCATGAGAAAGACCCATGTAAGCCGAGTGTGATCATCAATAAATTTAATGAACCAACGGGAACCAGTCACATTTTTTATTTTAGATGGCCCCCAAACATCACTGTGAATCATAAAAAAAGGATGGGATTCTTTGTAAGATTGGTTGGGATAAGAATTACGGACATGTTTAGAGAATTGACAAATTTCACACTTGAACTCATTTGGATTTTTATTATGAAATAGAGAAGGAAACAGTTTCTCAAGATACAAGAAATTCAGATGGCCTAATCTATAGTGCCATAACATAATTGCACTATCATTATTAGAACAACTGACAGAAAAAGAAGTAGGATTACCAAACACTAGACAATTGGACTGATAAGTTGTGCCTTGAGGAGGATTTGTAACCTCGAGAAGATAGAGTCCTGAGCATATTTTAGCACTGCCAATCGTCTTCCCTGAGTCCAAGACCTGAAATTCACACATGGTTGAACCAAATTTAGTCACACAATTCAGGTCTCGAGTAAGTTTACTAATGGACGGTAAGTTACAATTCAAATTTGGCATAAGAAGGACTGATTCAAGTGTAATATTCTCTGATACTTTAATAGAACCTGTACCAACCACTTTTGAGAGTGAACCATCGGCTATTCTGACTGTTAAGTGTTTATCACATGGACTGTAAGTAGAAAATAGATCCTCATTTCCAGTCATATGGCCTAAAGCTCCAGAATCTATAATCCATGAATTTGACGTCTCTTTTTTAACATTGAGAGCGCTTAAAAAATTACCATTTTGGGCTAAGGACCCAATACCAACCACAGTGGAGGTTTGGGCATGCAAAAACTGGTTGAACAACTTCTGTAGAACCTCTAATTATTCCTTGCTGAATGGAGTAGGTTCAAGTGAAGGTTTTTCATCCATTGAGACAAAATTGCCTCTCCCCTCTTTGTCGTTGGCAGACCGGGAAGACTTCCAATCTGCAGGCTTACCATGAATTTTCCAGCAAGTGTCCCTGGTGTGACCAGGTCGGCAGCAGTGATCACACCAAGGGTGTCCTTTCTTTGGTTTGGTGTCATTGGTGTTGTAGGAGTTCCCTCTAACAACAAGGGCTGAGCTCTCAAGACTTGTCATTAGTTCTTGAGAGCCCATCATGATTTTCTTTCGACTCTCTTCTCTCCGAACTTCAGAAAAAGCCTCCCATATATTAAGTAGAGGTTTAGATCCCAAGATTCTTCCTCTTACTTCATCTATATTTTTATTTAATCCAATCAGAAACTTATATATTCTCTTCTGTTCAATGATTTGTCTATACCTGATTCCATCATCTAGACAGCCCCAATTGTGCTCCTCGAACAGGTTCATCTGTTGCCAATAGCGGTTGAGTGTATTGAAGTACTGGGTTACTGTTAAATCTCCTTGACGGAAATCATGGAGAACACTCTCCACTTCAAACAGCTCAGGTGTATTCTCATTGTTGGAATATGTCTCCTTTGCAGCCTCCCAGATTTTCCTTGCTATTCTGTAGAGTAGGAAGTTCTCTCCGATTTCATTTGTCATGGAATTGATGAGCCATGACATGACCATATTATTCTCGGAATTCCAGATTTTGAACTTCTCATCATCCTGGCTTGGCTTGGTAGCCACTCCTTTGAGATAATCACCATTTCCTCTTCCGCAAATGAACATCATAACAGAGTGGGACCATTGGAGGTAGTTGTTCCCATTAAGTTTGTGTCCTGTAATGGGCATGAGATTGCTATCTCCACTATTATTACTGGAGGCCATGGCTACCTGGTTGGAGGTAATTTGGGACACGGAAGCAGTTGAGTCACTTCTCCCTTATTTGGTTATATGAGGGATTTAAGGTTCAGAGAATGCTCTGATACCATGTTGAAAGTAGAGGAATTCTTTATTATTTTCATTATATTAAAACAGGTTACACGTTCCCTATATATATAGATGCTGAAACACTTAATTTCTAGGGATATATACAACTTACCTAGAATAGGGTCAAATCTATCTAAAACAGAAAGAAATAAACAGGAAATAAATATATACGGATATGGTAACAAGCTACCAGAATCCCCTAAAAATATGGAACAAAATATTGATCTGTTTAACTCTAGATTTCCTTAATTTCGGCCCTCTAACACGCAGACAGATATGCCTTCAAACTAAACTCCAAATAATTCTACAGAAGTATACTATTGAATTAATTACAGATTCTGGGAGCAAAGCCAACTTCAACTCCCCTTGAGTAGAATGTAAAGCTGACTTCAGTAGTGTTTGACAAGAAACAAAAGGATATTCTTGGTGATTGTGAGTTGGAAGATAAGGCAGCCCACCAAAGGTTGATTGAAATGTTGATTTACTTGACACATACAAGGCCAGATATTACATATGCTGTACAAAACCTTAGTCAGTTTATGCATTAACCCTAAAAAATATCATCTTAAAGCAACCTTTAGAGTTGTTCGATATGTAAAGAATAATCTAGGGAAAGGTTTGTTTTTTTTAAAGCTTGAATTGAATGACAACTTTTAGGTTTTTGTGATTATGATTGGGCTTCCTACCCAATGTCAAGAAGGTCAGTTACGGGATATTGTATTAAGTTTGGAGAGTCCTTGATATATTGGAAAAAAAAACACTATAGTCAGGTCTTCAACTAAGGCTGAATATAGAAGCATGACAGTGGTTACTGTTGAAATAGTATGGTTAATTGGTTTGTTGTAAAAACTTGGAGTGCAAGAGATCAAATCGGTCAAATTATTCTGTGATAACAAGGCAATCTTTCAAATTGCTACAAATCCTGTCTACCACGAAAGGACCAAGCCTATAGAGATTGATTCCCATTTTGTTCCAGAGCAGATTTAAAATGGTGTCATCAAGACATAACACATCTAAATTGTGAATAAGCTTGCACATATTTTAGCTAAAGCATTAGGAATACAACAACAATTTTATTTGTGGTGCAAGTTGGGAGTTAAAAAGTTTCAATAAAATATAATTTTTTTATTAAAATTTATCACATTGAGATAAAAAGTTTGAATAAAAATATTTTTATTAGAACTTATCACCTCCATATGACAAGTTCCATACACTATAGAAACTGTCGTAGATCTCAAAATAAAAGTGATGCATTTTTTACTGCCTATTGGGTCAAAAAAACCCTGTTAACAGGGCTATTACTTTTTGACCCATACCTTGATATTATAATTTAATTAGGGCCTTCTTCATCAGGTTAGATGGCCCATCCGCATGAATAATACACAATTTTTGTGCAATGATACTGCTTCTACTGGCACCCTCGATCAACGATCGTACCTTCTTAATTACAATTTTAAAAATTAAAAGAGTAAAGTATACAAATGGTCCTTCGACTATTGGGTGATATTTTGTTGAGTCTCTGTTAAAAGTTACAAAATGATCCTCCGACCATAGGACGCTACTTTGTTGAGTCCCCCGACTATTAAAAGTTACAAATTGTAACACAACTATTCATATTTTCCAAACTCGTCATTTTTCATTAAAAATTTGACGACAATCTGAGTTGGATGTTAACCTGCTGACTGAGATATAATAAAATATAATCACAGAATCTTAAACGATTATCATAACTCAGTAGAATGAAAATAATCAAGATTTTAAACACAACATGATGACGTTACATTTATTGAATATATATTCTTTATTTTTTACACATGAATTATATTCTCTTGTAGAATGAAACTAATCAAGATTTAATATGCAAGAGTAACAATTTGACGTAATTGAGGCTTTCGTAATATGGAACATTGTAACGTAAAATATTAGGGGGAAAAAGATAGAACGGAAAGGAAAAGGGCGAGGGATAGCCAATAATGTGGAGCTCAAATACCCAAATTAAATAGGTGGTCCAATTATGTGAGTGACACATATTTCATCTTTCCGACATATTATTCTCAATGCTGCTTTGCAAAAGTTTTCCAACGATGAAAATAAAAGGATCCCCTTGTGTAAACTAAAGTAACTATCAATGAACTTAAGTAATACATATATTATATTATAAGTTTAATATCGAATTCTATGATTCAAAACACTAGATTTATTTTATTATTTAGTTATGGAATAAAGGAGTTAGCTAAGAGCTATCTCTTCTTTTCAAATTCCTTGAGTGCGATGACCCTTTTGCAGAAATGGCCCCATTATATTGGCTAACTTGGTATCATCAATGAGGACCTACACTTGAAGCTTTGCAGAAATGGCCTCATTATATTGGCTAACTTGGTATCATCAATGAGGACCTACACTTGAAGCTTTGCAGAAGCCTTGCAATCATTCAGTCACTTACCACAGTTAGGTTTTGTTTTTCTATATAAATATATCCCACCATTGTTGGCCATTTAGCTGGAATCTTTAGAAACAAATAAAATAGAAAATTGTAAGATTTGTAACAAGTTTCAAATAGAAGGTTAATTTGGGCCAATCATCTTACCTGCTCTATCCTACTTGCTCTACTTAACGTCACCTTCCCATGCAGAATATATGTATACGCACGTATATTTTTAAAGAAGACCCGCTTTTGGGTCTTTCTTTAAATTTAAAGAATAATGAAATTACCAAATAATATTATTAGTTGGTCTGGTACAATGAAATAGTATATTTTTAAATAATATGTAAATTTTAAAATTATAATATTATAAATATTTTTAATTAATATAAATAATATTTAATCTTAATTATTTAATTAATAAATTAAAAATCAATATGAACCGATAATGAATTTGTCCTTAGTGTCGGTAGTATCTTTTTGTATTTCCTAATTGGCTCGAACGTTATTCCCATCCTTTCATTCACTAAAATAATAAAGCGTGTT